TCTCTCTCTCTCTCTCTCTCTCTCTCTCTCTCTCTCTCTCTCTCTCTCTCTCTCTCTCTCTCTCTCTCTCTCTCTCTCTCTCTCTCTCTCTCTCTCTCTCTCTCTCTCTCTCTCTTATTTCCTTTCTCTCTCTCGTTGCTCCTCGCTAGCTTCTACTCGTGGGTATTATACGACCTGCAGGAGGAGAGGACTCGAATTAGGTTCCTACGTAAATGCCTCCAACGGAAAGCGCCGCTGCTTTGATACCCAAAAGAGAATTAGTAGACGTAGCGAGTAGATGTGTAGTCGTAGATTACAAGTAGATAAAAGCTGCACTATGTATTGGGTATTGACATTGCAGATAAGACAAATACGACAACTGAGCGACTCTATATTTGATATAAATTTCTATATTTATGCTCTTCTTTATCTTCCTATGAATCTGACTGAATCGCGCTGCATTTACTGCTCACGTACAACCGCGCACCCTAACCACTGACCGAAGCAAAGAATGCACACGTGTACATACGTATACATAGCAACAGTGTATACACGTATACAGAGCTACGTAAACTACGCAAACATGCGCACAGGTCAGGGAGAAACATTCAGCTAACGTTTATACGGTCATACCTTAAGCGTCCACGTTGCTCTCTCCTCACCTCTAACCAGCCCCAGCAGGAAATGCTAGTGTAGTCAGTGAGCCGTACCGTTGCACACACGTGAAGGGAAATGCGTGACAGAAATGTCAAGCCTGGGTGCGAGCGTTCTTGCACGAGACCAAACTCACGATGACGTAAATCGGATAGTAGCTCCCTCCGTGCGTCAGAGATTATAGGTGAGCTGCCTGTTTGTTGATTCAAGAGTTTCGAGACGTTGTGAATGACACGGATATCTTGGCCCGCTATCAGTGATTCTCAGGGTCATCTCGGGGCTACACGTATGTCAAGCTTTCAAGCACACCGAGGAAAAAAATTAGGAGAAAAGTAGGATCAAAATTTGCAAAAAAAAACAGGACAAAGGTAGGATTTTGCTGGAAAAAATAGGATAAAAGTAGGACTTGTGCGGGCTTTCAGGAGTAGTTTGTACTCATACTTACCAATATCCACAGAACCATAAGCCTCATATGACGTTCGATCTTTACTCACAAAAACTTACTCACTCACTTATTTACTTACTTCTTTACTCACTTCTTTCTGGTGTACGCCAAAGAGGTATGTATACCACCTGGCATCTGCAGTGACTACTCACTACTGCTGAGAGGGTCTATGTCCCCCGGGGTACTGCCGGAACGTACCCTGGTACTATCTAATATGCCGGACCGTACCTCGTCTACTCCACTAACGAGTCTAGGGAGTCGCCTACGCCTACTCCCTAACCCTAACCCGAACCCGAACCTTGAACCCTAACCTTAACCCTAACCCTAATGCTAACCCTAACCATATCAAATAGTGACCAGGGTACGTTCCAGCCCTTCTGCTTGTGATTTACATATGACAATCACAGAGTGTAACATCGTCATCAAGAATATTGAATGACTGAGAATTCCTTTTACGGTAATTTAGAACAAAAAATTTGGGGAAAAAAACTAAGCGAAAGTAGGAAAAAGTAAGAATTTCAGGGGAAAAATTAGGAAAAGTAGGAGCAAAGACAAAAAAGTAGAAAAAAGAGGAATACTTGAAAGCCTGAGTATATAGGTTCCATAGTAGCATAGTAGCATAGGGCTGTAACCATATTGTTGGCACCTACTGCTTAATGAATAACGCTCGTTTCACACGGTTACAGCCCTATAGACCGAAGGTCCGATAGACCGAAGGCTGATAGACCGAAGGTGTATTCGAATACGCAGTGCCTATACACATCCGGAATCGGTCGCCTAGCCTCCAGGCTACGCATCCGGACATCCACGATGCCGTATTCGAACGTGAATATGCCGCACATCCACCGATGCCACTATAAATCATATGATGCCACTATATATACCATATATATGCCCTAACCCTAACCCTAACCCTAACCCTAACCCTAACCCTAACCCTAACTCTAACCCTAACTCTTTGCAATATTCGGTCTATCGGACCTTCGGTCTATAGGGCTACCCCCCAACAATATAGGTTCGAAGAACTACAGTGACTATTACAACACTTTTTGCTCGCTACATGAGAGAGTGGTGTGCGCTCAGTGATTATGTCCAAGTGACTGACTGTTCTAGAGTACAAAGATCATCTAGTAGGTGATACAATATTTGGTGATATCAGTGTGTTATACATGTGATTGCTGTCATACGTCACGTTGTGATAAGGTATCAGGTATTATGATAATATCAGGAGTAGATAATAGGGAATATTATTACTATCTATTATCTACTCCTGATAATATACAACACGTCCCCTTGTGTTGTACGTCATTATGTGATACACTATCAGGTATACGTTATCAATATGTGAGTATGTAAAGTGTCCCCATTATGTTATATGTCATTACGTGACACATTATCACACACTTTAATATATCTTTATGTGACATATCATCAATATTGGATGTGTAAATATGTAATCTATTATCGTGTGATACATAAAAATGTAATGTAACATGATGATATGACAATGTTACTACATAACGTATCATCATGTTATACATGACACAATGCACGTGCATTGTGGTGTGACCAGACTTGATAACTGATAGGTCCGTCATTATACCACATCAATCTCGGTATGTAATATGTCATTACATGGAGAATTTTATCGTCGAGTTACCTAGAGTGAAATACAACTCTCGTATTATCTCTCTGATATCCCGCATCACGCAAATTTAAAGTATGTGGCAGAATGTGTGCCACAAACAATCACTAACATAAGGAAAAAATTCAACAAGCATTCGTATAATACACATGTAATCATGATATAAGGCGGCATGGCGTAGATGGAGCACATTTACAAGTAAAATACATATGTCTGCCATCTCTGTCATACAGTCCCTGCAAGGGTCACGAATACATTGAGCACGCTGTGGACGATTCAATGCCAAACTATATCTACTACCATATTCTGTGAACATGTCACCGGTGTTAGTATACCAATTCGATAATTATTATGGCAATCATAGACGTGCTATCATATTATCAGAGAATGAAGTTGAAATGGCAATTTTTACATGAAATGGGAGTACAGTAGTATACTATTCTGGGAAACCAGAGACACAATAGATCACACAGTCACAACACAGACCACTCGCATGGGTCTCTCTCCCTCTCTCTTTCTTTCTCCCCCCCCCCTCTCCCTCTCTTGCTCTCGCGCACTCTGTTTCTCTATTTCTCTCTCTCTCTCTCTATCTATCTATCTATCTGTCTCACTCTCTCTAATTCTACATGAGACATGTCTCAGTCACATCGTCAAGGACCCACTATCAATTAAGGGACCTATTGAGCACCATAATGTTAATAGTCTTTTGACATCACACATGCATGTTATAACAACACAAAAAGTTTCCCCTCGCACGCTTTAACATTGGGCCATTTACTGATATGTAAACCAACAAACCAACTGTGGGACATCCACATGTCATGGCCTGAAGCAAAGACGACAGTCCAGGACTGTTGGATATATATTCATACATGCCCTATGTTCTTCTATGAACGAAGAGTATTTACTACTATTTACTGGGTCTACATACTTCTATTTTAAAACTGGTACGATAAAGTGTAACTAGCACGCACGTGTAGCATGCATGCAATAGCTGCATGGGACATGTGATACAAGCTGGGAAGGACCCCGAGTGGCTTACAAATGATACCATGAAGAGGCTTGTAGACGGTCAAACTGACTCCTTCCCCAAAAAACCACCTGCTATATGTGAGACTTCAATCAGCAATAGCATAGAGCAGCAGCTGTTAGTATATCCAAATGCTCTCGTGAGCGAACATTATACCTTTGGTTACTAATCTAACAGGATGGTCTAAAAACTTCGCTAAACCAACTAAACCCCGACCAATCGAGGCTCTCTTTAAAAAACAAGAAAAATGTTTAATTTTTAAAATTTAGAAGCACATTAGACATCAAGCTATATCTCATCTTCACAGGCAAAACAATAGCAAAATCATGAACAGAAAAGCTTAAAGGTGACCCCATCAGTATCTTCTGGTATTTCAACCTTTCTAATCGTAAGTGTAACCAACTGATCAGAACTTTCAGGGGAGAAAGACAGAAACACAGATAGAGAGAGAGAGAGAGAGAGAGGGGGGAAGGAGAGAGCGATAGAGAGAGAAGCAGAGAGGCGAATAAAAAGAGGCGAGAGAGCGAGAGAGAGATGAGAGAGAGAGAGAGAGAGAGAGAGAGAGAGAGAGAGAGAGAGAGAGAGAGATGAAAGCGAGAAGAGAGAGAAGAGAGAGAGAGAGAGGAGAGAAAAGAGAGAAGAGATGAGGAGAAGAGGAGAGGAGAGAGAGAGAGAGGAGAGAGAGAGAGAGAGAGAGAGAGAGCAGCGAGAAGAGAGAGAGCAAGAGAGAGAGAGAAGAGAGAGAGAGCAGAGAGAGAGAGAGACGAGAGAGAGAGAGAGAGAGAGAGAGAGAGAGGAGAGAGAGAGAGATGAGAGAGAGGGACGGAGAGAGAGAGAAGAGGGCAGAGAAGAGAGAGAGAGAAGAGAGAGAGAGAGAGAGAGAGAGAGAGAGAGAGAGTCGAAAGTGGCAAAGATAGAGATAATAGAAGAGAGATGGAGTGGGGGTGAGCAAGTGTGTGAGAAAGAAACCAAGAGGGGACAGATGGACAGACAGACAGTCATACCGACAAACAGACACAGACAGACAGACAGACAGACAGACAGACAGACAGACAGACAGACAGACAGACAGACAGACAGACAAACAAACAGACAGACAGACAGACAAACAGACAGAGAAAGCGAGCGAGAGAAAGACAGATAATGAAAATAATGGATCTTTTCTTGCTATACTGGCTGCAAATTAGCTCATGTGCAATAAGCTTTGCTTCATCTTACTTCTAAAAAATACAGACAACCCTCATTACAATACTAGTTGCTGGACCCACGAATCTTGGCAGCATAGGAGGAATGAAACCTCTAAAGTCTAAACCATATTTAATATTATGAGATCAACGCTATAATGAAGTGGTCAAGATATTATCCAGGCATTAACCAGAATTGGCAGGCAGAATTGCCAGAATGGCAGAATTCGATGGCAGAATGGCAATTTAATGCCAGAATTAGCAGGCAGAATAATCCAGGCAGAATTGCCATTATAAAACACCTGCCTGCAGCAACTTGATTAAACCGACTGCACCTAATAACTAAACTGACGTTTTTTGGCCATTTTTAGATATCGATTGACGAGGAACATAATTTACACAAAGGCACAACCAACTTGTTCTACAAGTATCCGGTGTCCACTGTTTGACAGCTTCTGCACAAATGCATAGCAATTGTTTGTTACTTTGAGAAATGTGACAAAGGGCATACACCGGGATGTGTGATAATCCCGATTTACATTTTTTAGGTGGACGCTCAACTTTTCGTCTTATGATAATCAAAAGATAACTGTGCGCAATCACAAACTATTTGTTAGGTCGAGTTAATTAGATATTATATCGAAACACAATGTAATGCCATGTGACCTGAACAGCCTACCGACGCATCGAATTACTTTCAGAGCAGAAAAAGACTTAGAGCACGACGAAAGAGACGAAATGGGAGTAGGCCAACTGGGATGTTACCGCTGTAATATTGCTTTTTAACCTGTATAAAATAACGTAAACTGGTAGCGTGATATGTGAAGTCGTGTCCGTAACCTCTCGGAAGACTCGAGAGACGTACAGTAGCTATACATATATATAAGAAATACCCATCACCTCTCATGAGCAGTTAATTTCATTCTTAAAAAATACTATTCACATATTTGTTTGGTACGAATGCTCAACACAGGCACAGACCCTGATGAGGTTTCAAACACTTGTACCGTAACTAGCACATAATAAATGCCACCAAATTTATATGACACAATTTTCGTTAGTACACATTTACAAATACAAAACGGTCAGGATAAGTTTACAGCAAATTCAATTTCTAAATGCCATTGTTTCATCATCGATAAGGTTGTAGAAATCACAATTTCTACGAGTCAGGAGTGCAATAGATAAAAACCTAAATTCAGATTTGTCATTGATAATTTTTAAAAACAGCATTAAAATATATAGACTAATGATGAGCTTTTGCATAATTTTGCATTCACAACTATATCTGCATTCGTAAAACTAGAAAGGGCAGTTGTCGCCAACTACATGTATCCCCCGTGTTCTCTCCAAGATGTGTAAGTATACGAAGTTTGGTTGCGCTAAGTCAATTAGGGGCCCGAGTTATAGAGCGGAAGGGAAGTATGATGAAGGTAAGGTCAAGGTCAATGTCAAATAAAGGTTGCAGTGACCTGGTTTCGGTACGCGACACACCTTCTCCCCAAGATGTGTAAGTATACCAAGTTTGGTCGCGCTAGGTCAATTAGGGGCCGAGTTATAGAGCGGAAGGGAAATATGATCAAGGTCAAAGTCAAGGTCGCAGTTGACCTGGTTTTATGGTACGCTGACCCTCACCTTCTCCCCAAGATGTGTAAGTATACCAAGTTTGGTCGCGCTAGGTCAATTAGGGGCCGAGTTATAGAGCGGAAGGGAAATATGGTGAAGGTCAATGTCAAATAAAGGTTGCAGTGACCTGGTTTCGGTACGCGACACACCTTCTCCCCAAGATGTGTAAGTATACCAAGTTTGGTTGCGGTAGGTCAATTAGGGGCCGAGTCATAGAGCGGAAGGAAAATATGGTCAAAGTCAAGGTCAAATAAAGGTTGCAGTGACCTGGTTTCGGTACGCGACACACCTTCTCCCCAAGATGTGTAAGTATACCAAGTTTGGTCACGCTAGGTCAATTAGGGGTCGAGTTATAGAGCGGAAGGGAAATTCTCCGCGGCGGACCGAGCGGGAGACATGAAACCATAGTATCCCCGCCGACTTCGTCGTGGGGGATACAATAAATACCAGAGTTGTGTATGTATGCGTGCCTGTGTGCGTGCGTGCGTGCGTGCGTGCATGCATGTGTGCGCTGTGCTGTGTCATGTGCGTGCGTGCGTGAGTGTGTGGGCGCGTGCGTGCGTGTCACGGGAGGAGGGCATTCTTTTATGGATGGTTGTAAGGACAAATTCGAGTCACACTGGCCCTTTTTGTATGCACCCATCAAGCAACAACCTCCAAATTCAAGTCTAACTATGGAAGATTTCTGGCTCCACCCCTGCACTGAGTATAAAATGCTTCATAGATCTTTCCTCTACAGATCTACCTATCTTAAAAGCCATCTCACAGATATTAGGTCACTTTCATACGATACAAGTTGAGATTTTAAGCAGTTGCTCGACTTTAAAAACTGATCAGCTTTCAGAAAGTACAGCATACTATTAATCTGTTCATACTGGTGGCACAACTACCCAGTATGAAGAACCAATTATAACTTAGTAAGCAAGGCGCCAGCAGTCAACATGCAAACACTGTAATGTCATGTGTAGGATGGAGCAAAATGGACCATCGCAGTCCCCCTTTGATAAACCCATCTCTATCTAGTTACAATGACAGTGATTGAGATTTACTCACGTTTACTAGTTACGAAAAATAGTCTTAACTGGATTACTGTGAATGGTTTCAGATCTGAACTCATTCCGCTCATTCCTCTCAGCAGCAGATGGAGGTCACTCTTGTGAGTCAACATCCCTCGCCTCGAAAATCATGTTCATCGCCTGAAAAGAAAAATCACACAATCTTTTATTCTTTACCAAGTACAGTACATGAAACACAATGACAATATAATACAGTACACAATCTATTATCCGAAATTCAGAAAACCGAAATACTCCGAAAACCGAAGGTTTTTTCGTGGAGGTCGTCTGCACACCAAAGCTTGCGTTTGGCTGCACAAGGTTCACTGAAGAAATATTAATGTGCTTGGCATTACTCATACATATTGCACTGTCATCATAAGTGGAATTTTAATTCAAATATTACATATTTGTGAGTTACATCCCATGAGAACAAGTATTTTGAGGTTTAATGAGAAGCATGTTAATAATTGATAAGCAGTTTTATACATGCATAAGCAACCTAATAGTAGACTACTCGCCAAAATATGTATGACGTACATCAAGAGTGATAATAGAGAAGATAATGGACACGGTTTAACAGCTGTTTTGCATAGTTTGTCAAACTGGTAAATATCTAATCAGAATATGTGAATAAATATATTCAAACTTACCTTGTTTTCGTCTATGAATCTCTCTTTATATGTCATATGAACAACACCAATTTATACTGAAAATCGTATGTGTCTTCACAAAAAGTTTATTGAATACGACACTGTTTTTTTCGTACAGTTTTCACTGCATGAATGCAATCTCTCGCGTACCGACGTTTCTTATGGTATTAGTGGTTCTATATTGTCTAATGACGGAACTTTGGGGTCGTATGGGATTATTAGGGCATCTGAATTGTATTCAGCGTGCAGCGTTTCCAGTCTGCTAAAAATAAAATGCGGCCTCACGGCCAAAGCTAAGCTAGTCAGCTAATTCCCTAGCGGCCCCCAGCGTACCGCATAGACAACAGATACACTAGTCCCATATCAGAAAGCTTCGGTCGGAGAGATTGGCATTTCATGCGTGAAAAACTGTACGAAACCGTGTTCGTATTCAAATAACTTTTTTTTGAAGAACACATAACGATTTCAGGTAAATGGTGGTGGTCATATGATTATAGGAAGAATTCATAGACCGATTAAACAAGGTAAAGTTTGATATATTTATGTCACATATTGTAGAGTTATTTACCAGTTCTGAAAACTATGCAAAACGCTGTTTAAAAGCTGTGTCATACCTCTTCTCTATTAATGGCACTCTTGAACGTACATGTATATCATGGACATGATCCGCTTTTTGAAAAAGGGGGGTCGCAGTAAGAAATAGAAGGGACTTTTATAAAGAAAGGTGCCGAATGCAGTTTATGCGACGTGTCGCTATAGGCAGCGTTGCCAACATTAGGGGGGGGGGTTAGGGGGACCTCCCCAAGAAAAATTTTAAAAAATTCGTGCATTCTGAGAGCATCTGAGGGCAAGTAATTTTGATGTCCTAGAATGCAAGATTAAATTCCAAATTTTTAAAGGCAGAAATTACTTTTATCGTGTTTTCCCTTTTTTTGGAGTAAAAAAGAGGGGGTCAGACGCCCCTGGACCCCCCCTCTGGATACACATACCAACATCCATACTGAGAAAACAACTTTGACTTTATAATAAAATCGTGATAGTAAAGAGTTAATATTAATATGATGTTATTTAAAGTGAAGGGGTGGGGGTCCCTGGGGGTCCTCCCCTTAAGAATTTTTGAAAATTGGGTCAGCCTTAAATGTAAAATCTGCATCTTGAAAAAGATACTAATAACAATTCTGGATTTCAGAAAAATTGAAACGCCCTCAAAAAATATGGAAAAAAAGGATTTGTCCAGAAAATATGGAGAAATAGGAATTGCCCAGAAAATAGG